TAATCATAGTCCGAAATTAGTCATACGTGGCGAGATATTAACTCGATCCAATTAAAAAAACGTAAAAATATAAAACAATACAAATCGAAAATAAAATACACATTCGTATTGTACTTGTAACGTGAGTGTACTGAAAGTGTTTATTTATTTTATAAAATGTCGACGCGAAAGGAAATAAATTGAGCCAACAACCAATTAGCGCACAAGCGAGTTCACGATTAGACGTTATAAACTACGCTTGGCTATATCGTGCTGCGCCTTATTTCCTTGTAAAGTTCATTTCAATTGAATTGTCTCTTTGTGGCCCCCGAAGAATGTAACCATTTATTCCTTGGGATATTAGTTTCAAAGATTTCACGCTTCAAATCGTAAAAGCATTAGGTTTTCTTGGAACTCTGAGAAATGCATTTCGTGTTTTGACTTTGTGTAATACTTTAACATAAAAAAAGTTGGATTCTGGACTTTAAGGAAATGATAATAAGAAATAGGAACGTTGATAGTAAAAGTATAATTGAGTGGTTTCAATGTTGACGCTCATACGAAAAGAAAAGAGTCTTGATATTTCACGTGTCCGTCATAACGAATCGGAATTCATCTATGATACCGCCATTCGTCTAAGTTGGATACGATAATTCCTCAAACGAAGAGGGCACTACCTTTTTTGGGTCACGAGCCCTACGCCTTTGAGGTCGTAGACTGGACATTTCGATGTTGAACAAGTATAGCAATTAACGCTACCTAGTCTCTGTAAATATTCATTTCATATTGTAATGAAACCTTTTATATATGGATTAAAATATTTAATTAATTAATCAGCATTATTTAATATGAACATGCACATGACCGAATTTTATTAGGAAAAAACAAGGGAGAAGTTAAGTAAAGAGCGAGATAGCTACATTTGAAAATGACAGATGTCGAATGCGTTTAGGAACTAGTTATCCCGTAATTAATTGAAATTATAAGTTAATACCAACCATAATAATGTTTAAACCGTAGGTTTGTAGGTAGGTAGGTTGTAATGTCAAAGAATATTGTACTTCTATAATCACAGATTTCGCCAACACTACACTATAGACAAATAATATTAATCTATTCTCAATTTGACCTCACACTTTAAACAATAACAAAGGTTTGACAATTGACAATAAACAAAAAGTACATTTATATGTATTGAACACAACGCTTACATGTTAGTGTGTGTAATGTTTTTTTTTATTGATTTAATGTATTTTTTGTACATAATTAAAAAAATATTTATCATTTTTCACTCCTCTATATTCTCTATAAGTGTGGGTAGTAATTAATTAATTTCAAGTAAGTAAAATCACATCAAAAAAAAAACAAGGAAATACATACATATGTGCCGACCTCGTCTAGTTGGACCAGGGGCAGAAATAGAAAAAATGAAAAACTCACAAATGAAGTAGGTAGCGATCTGTCGCTGCCGGCCATAGTGCGGAGGATGGTCGGCAGCGCAGAGTCGTGGGACGCGATGGTGTCCTTCTGCGAGGACGTGATGTCGCAGAAGGAAAATGCGGAACGGGAGAGGGAGATCTCGACTGCCTTCCCTGGCCGCAGAAGGCGCGCCGGGCGCAGGAGAAGAGCGGACAACGCCCTTTTCCGCCCCACCATGAATGGGTCCAGGGGCGAGGGACTTGGGAAAGCCCCCGCCCCCTATTCGATGGACCCGAGACGGAGGCGCGTGCGGGTGCCGGCGGCATGCCTCTGAGGCGATGAACGGGGTAACTGAACGCCTCACTACCCCGTGCAGGAGACGAGGCTTGGACAGACCGGGCCAGTACTGGTGTGGGGCTGCGGAAGAATGTCGATTCCCGCGGCCCCGCGCGCACTTGTGGGGAGACACCGGGGTGGTTTTAGCCGGTAAGAGTCCGGCACGCCCCTCCGCCTTTCCCCAGGCGGAGGCAGTCCATGAATTTCCCCCGAAAAAAAAAAAGGGTGCGGAAATAGAGAGGCATAAAGTTAAAATTACATATTGCCACGAATAATATACAAGACTAAAATAATTACCATTAACGTTACTATTTGCTGCGCTAGGCTAGCTAGACCTTTCGTTGGTGATTAAAGCTCATCGATTAAGAATATTTCAATTCATTTCTATAACATACGAGTATCTGTACATGATATAACAGTGCGTTCTCAATAATGATGGGCACATTCATTTGTATATGCGGTTGTCTGTAACTTAAATATAACATTGATTAATTACGAAAACGTGTTCCCGTAATACCGCACGAGGCTTACGCGCAACGCAAATACGAGACTTGATGAATGAACCTGCCCCGTTATTACTACTTCAGAAAACGGACGGGCAATGCATTCTAATTAATCCCTTGAACAGTAATAGCGGTCGATGTTTGCCACGTCACCGCCTGTTTACCTCAGCCCTGTTGATTTGGTCTGTGCACTGGAAGGCACTATAAACCGTGTCCATTCTACTCTGACCCGCCCGATTGAACCTACGAAGTTTTTCGTCCTTATGCACTCCCTAATACAGTTGAGTTACCAGAGGCCCGGCCGGATTGGTCGTTATGATGGCACTTGTGTTTCGTAAACGATGTTTTATTCATGCCGCGTCGCTCGACTGCTGCGAATAACCGGCTAATTATTGAGGTGTTCAGCCAAGATTTGGGTGGCTCGAGAATTTCATCGACACCGCTTACAAAGAGGACCACTTCACTTGTCGGGTTAATAAACTTTTGTCTCTCGTTTCAATATATCTTACCCAGAAAGCTTCGTGAGTATTAATTATGATGATATCCCTGACTTGTCTCGCTGATGTAATCCTTGGAATATCAGATGTTAATATAAATGGTATTTTCGAAGGAAACTGTATCATTTCTGTGTGCGTGCAGAAATGAATGTTTTCTTGATATTAAAGGCTGAAGATAAGTGTTTTGTTTATGATCTGTCGTGCTATTTTCTGTTTACTTTTTTCCTTTCGCTCTGGATCTGATTTGATTTGATTAAAGTACGGAAATGTATTGAAAACTTTATGGTGTTAACGAGAAAGTTTCGTTGGAGGTATTTCGTGTTCATGAAGGTAATTAAAATTGCACTTATTATTACTGTGTCGGGTCGTTAAATTTTCATATAGATAGTTTAATAAATTTAACAGAATTTAAAAGTAAAATTGTAAGTCAGAGAATCTGCTATCACATAAATTTCACTCGGAAGGAAAGTATAAAATTTTCTCAACGTTCCTTACTGATCTCCTTTGTTCCAGCGAAGCTTTTGACAGCCTTTCTTCCTATTATATTACACAGGTTTTTTTTCCTGCGGGGCTGCTAAAATTTCTAAAAAGAGATGAATTATCACAATAATATATTAGGACTGTTTTAATCACTAAATGTTATTTAATGCTTTCGAAATATATTTCTGACAGTACTATAATATACAATTTATTTTATCAGTATTTTGTTCGGTTTTCGGAAATGGTAGACATAATTAAAACTATTTGAAGTTTTTAATCCCGCATTTTTTATTGTCTACATTATTTGCAGATATTTCGTGATCACGGACGATTGATGTGTTATTCATTCGTCGAAATTCGAATATTCTGCTAACTACCGTCAATTTTTCTATAAAACATATTTTAAATTTTTTACGTTTCGTTTCACACAGATTTGTTTTCAATGTTATTTGTAGAAAGTAGAATATGAATTGAAATAAAGAATTTCAAAGAACCCCTTCAAGAAAGTTATTCGTTCAATACCAAAAACGAATCTTTGATCAAATTAAACTTATCTAACGTAAGATCATACATATATTTCATTCAATTCATAGTACATTTGATCAAGTTTCATCGTCGAGCGTGAGCGTGAAAATTGCTAGAAATTTTCTTAATAAAATATTTGGTGGCGTTATTAAGTCGTAAATATTAGAGTTCCCTCGCGTTCCACAATGCTCCGATCTCGGTGCCTAATAGAATTATCCCCGTCGTAGCTCCGAATTAATTCGAAGGTCCCGTAGACCTTTAGATGTGTAGCCTCGGAGGGTGAGGAGCGCGCGTGACCAAAAATACTGGCCCTGTAGGGGTGATGCTGGAAAATTATGGATCTAAAGTTGATAAGGCTAATTTTGTAGGGTTAAAAAATGTCTCATTGGTCCTAGGTGTAACTGCTGAATGATGCGATGTGAATTCCCATTTTGTAACTTGAGTCATGCATACTGAAGAATACTAAAGTTGTTACACATTTGAGATTTGGCCCTCATTGTTTTGAAATGGGCTGCGATTTTAATGATTGGTGTCTAGTGGTACTTGTGTCGACTTAACACGTGCTTAGTCGTAATTTCTCCTATCTGCCCACGGCAAAGAAATCTTCCAAGTCTCACTGTCATGGAAAAATGTGTTTTTAACAAAATCTTATCTCGTTTTATTACAAGGAAAAATAAACTGCGAAAGATCATATCGTGCAAAAGTTTATAGCTACATTCATGTTTTGCAGGAAATTAAAAACTCTTTTTAAGTCAACACAGTACGGTCGTTACGTTTTGCACAGTAAATATAAGTGTTAAAATGGGAAAATGTTAAGAAAAAATAAATATATAATATATTTTCTAGATTAGAACTAAATTCGTTGGAAGCTTTCTTCGTCGAGAATAAATATTTTCTTGATGTATTCACGGTCAGGATTCTCATACTTTGCCGCATGGCTTATCGGGCAATCTCGGGATTTTTTTAATCTCGGGATTTTGTTCCTCTATGTGCGTTCGCTTATAGCGTTGATGCGTGATATAGAACGCCCTAAGCTAAACGTATTTATTCAACGCTTGCTTCTGGAATACAACCGAAACTAACGCCTGTTTGAAAATGAAGAGGCCCGCGTCAAAGCATTCGCTCTTTATTAACATTTAATATTTCTCAAGCGCCTCTTGCGGTTCGAGTGTCGGACGGGGCACATTACGTTCACGGAAGTGCCTTTAAATTAGGCGTTTCAAGTTAACGGCCCAAATTAACCGCCCATCTATTGTTACAGGTAACAGTGGGATGACCCAGTACCCGAATCGCCCAAGAAAGACGCAACTGCTAATGCATTGTAGTTTGTGATAAAGTTACCACGGATATCGTACCGTGTAACGTGCTGTTATCGGACTGCTTTTCTGTCGTCACCGCGTCGCGGACGTGTCGTTGTGCGGTCGCGACCGATGCGGGGTTGTGAGGGTGCGTGACGAGTGCATCTGTCATGGTGACGTCATGGTGCGCGCTGGCGTTGCTGGCGGCACTGCACATGTGCCAGGGGGCTCGTGACACGGTCTACCACAATCACTTCGCGGTTCACGTGCCTTCTGGACCGGAACACGTGGATGACATCGTGAGGAGGCACGGATACATCAATCACGGACAGGTCAGTCTTTTTACTAGAAACTTTTGTTAAGGTTTTTGTGATAGATTATATCCAATCAGTAATGTATATTTATGTGTGAAGCATACGATTGTTAATACGCTTTTATTAGCTTCAGACGTATGTATGTTTAGTATGTAACAAAATCTTTGAACATGATTTTAACCCCCTGGGAAACGTCGGATTAACTCGAAATTTGGTATACTCATTAAGGACCGATAACAATTCAATACTAAAAAAAATATTGAAAAAATTGAAATACAACTAAAAAATAGAAAATAAATTTGAATTAAAAATAGTGGAAGGAAAATTTATTTTATTGTAAAAAAGCGTGGGTTGCTTTTCAGGATTTAATCAAAATAACCCTTCTACTCATATCTGTTCATAAAATATTTATATCTACTGATATCATGCACCCCACGCATTTTTTACAATAAAATCGTTTTTCCTTATACTATTTTTAATTCAAATTTATTTTCTAGTTTTTAGTTGGATTTTCTATAAAAGCGTATTTTGTTAGTTTTTTTAAACTATTACTTAACTAGAAAATTTTGGTAAGGTTTTTGTGATATATATTGTTATATCCAATCCGAAATGTATCTTTATGTATGAAGCATACGATTGTTTTTACTTTACAAACAAGGTTTCGTTTTTTGTTGTTCCGTTTTTCTTGAAGCCTTGACTGTAATTAAATACGACAATTATAGAAATCTATTTGATCATAAAAAGGACTACGTATGTCATCTATGATACGTTGGAACAAATTAATCTATATCTATACTAATATATAAATCTACAGTGGTTTTTGCGGATGTTCCGTTATAACTACTGAACCATGCATCCGATTGACTTGAAACTTGGTATCCATGTAGAAAATACGTGTACTTAATGGATAGGCTAATATTTATATGAGTGTTGGACTCCCTAGACCAGTTGCGAGGGTGCGAATGATGAGAATCTTTGTGGGGGGTGAGAAATAATAATGTTAATTTTAAATGTCCAGCGAAGCGGGCGGGTACAGCTAGTAAATGAATAAAATTAAAGATATTTGACCTTATGTCGTTGAAATGTAATTTAAGTTTCTTTAAGTTTTGATTAGCAAATAATTTAATTAGTTTATCGGATTCAATACAACCATTGAAATATACTTGCGTGTCTACGTATCTCATAGCAACACACGGCCAACACCTCTTCCGTTAACTATATCGCAGGGCATCGCGTGACTGTCCGTTAGACGTCCAATTAAGTTTTCTCTAGTGATTAATGACTCTAATACTAACACCGGGGTTTTGCTTGCCCGATACCACTATCTCCGCTTTGACGCCCCTTCGTCGACTTCGCCGAAAACAGATGATTACTTACAATTTTCTTTACTTGTAGATTTAAATTGAGTTTGTTCTTTACTTTTCTTAGTGTATTCAGAATTTTTATTTATTTATTGCTTAGATGCTTGGACGAGCTCACGGCCCAGCTGGTGTTAAGTGGTTACCGGAGCCCATAGATATCTACAACGTAAATGCGCCACTCACCTTGAGATATAAGTTCTACGGCCTCAGTATAGTTACAACGGCTTCCCCAACCTTCAAACCGAAACGCATTACTGCTTCACAGCAGAAATAGGCAGAGTGGTGGTATCTACCCGTGCATACTCACAAAACGTCCTACCACCAGTAGTTACGCAAATTATAATTTTGTGGGTATGGTTTTCATTACACGATGTTATTCCTTCATCGTGGAAGTCAATCGTGAACATTTGTTAAGTATGTTTTCTATTTTAAAAAATGGTACCTGCTTTGGGGTTTGCAAACAAGTGCATCTCTTGATAGATTTCACTGGGCGTATCCTTTAGGCCACGATGACTTTATAGGCCACGATGAGTGTGAATGAGTGAGTCAATAATATTTAATTGCAAGAAATTTATGAATAATAGTCGAATTATTACAGTTAATAATATTAAGGTCTGTCCATGAATGAGCAGCTAGTACGTAAGCATATTCGAATTCCGTAACTTATTAATGAAGTTTTCTTAAAACAGTTGTTTTTCACTATTTGATATAGTAAGTACCACAGAATTTTATTGCAAACGAACTTAGTTCAGCACAGTGACATCAATCACGGAACTCCTCATTTTTATTAGTTTCTCTCTTATGTGTGACGTAACACATTTCTTTTCCCTCCGCCCACTTCCACTGGCGTCCCCTTTGTCGCATTATGTAGTTCACGCGACTTTGATAAACGATCCAGATAATGGTATTTGTACACAAAAACTTGTAAATGTGGCATGCTCTTTAGTTCGGGTACAATATAACATGTAGTAATGATATCATGTACCTACAGCGAAATGTATACTAATAGTATTCTTCTTTTGGATTTCAATTGGCTACAGTCGGTTGCCCTTTCATGATAGAGATTATTATTATATTAGGCTGGTATCTGATAGGTTTTGATGTTAGTATAGGTATGCTTAATTTTTTTTTTACGCTAAACGAAAGTAATCTGTAAATCTATACTAATATATAAATCTACAGTGGTTTTTACGGATGTTCCGTTGCAACTACTAAGCCATGCATCCGATTGACTTGGAACTTGGTATCCATGTAGAAAATACATGTACTTAATGGATAGGCTAATATTTATATGAATATTGGACTCCCTAATAACAAGGACAATAAATAATAATGTTAATTTTAAATGCTCAGCGAAGCGGACGAGTACAGCTAGTAACAGATGAATTTGATACACCTAAGTGTGCTATACACTGCCTATTCCCAGTATTCTCTTTTCAATTTAGGATATAATCATAGACCTCCACTGACGGTCATAGGCCTTCCCCAAAGTTTTCTATAATGACCGCTCCTGTGCAGTCTTCATCCAGTGGATTCCCGCGACCTTTAACAGGACGTCGATCCATCTCGTAAGATAACCCACGATATGCTTTCCAGTGTAAGGTCTCCATTTGAGAACTTTTCGGCCTCAGCAGCCATTGTTCGTGCGATGGGCCCGGCCCACAGCCACTTCAATCTTGCAGTACTTCGGGCTATATCAGTTGCCTTGGTTCTCTGCTAATCTCTTCATTCCTGATTCACAGGGAAACTCTGAACATAGCATTCTCCATTGTTCTTGATCCGTTGTTCTTTGAGTGAGCTTAGGATATGTGGTATACTAATTTAAAATACCTTTTTTGTTCCATTTTTGTAATGAAATACGCACTTAACTTGTTCACGGTTTCACTGTAAAAAAATCAATCACGCCAAAAAATATAATTTTCGTAATTACTATAGATTTAAGATATAATCTTCAAGCGTCAAAGTGGTGGCCGTAGTCATGCTCTGTTGTCTATGGGCTTCAAGAACTACTCTACATTAGATCGGCCGTGAGCTCGCTTAGCCGTCTTTCTTTTTCTTTGTCGTATCACTCTTGACAGAGAGTTAGTGGTCGTCATTAAGTATCATTGCTATGGGCAGATGTTATGTATCTCATGAGCAATGGTCACTTCTACCGGCTTTTCGTGAGCCTGGTACACTCATGTAAATAACGGCCAACTGCCGACTTGACTTGCCGTCTAAGTAATTACGTTTCTACTTCGAAGATTATACTATAGACTATATCATAGAAATATCTAAGATATTTGAATTTCGTAAATTGCGTTAAAAATATTAGTTAAAATCTGAGCTCTTAAAATTACCCAGTAATTTTTCGCAGACAAACCATTCGGTGCTGAAACGAACGATTATTATTGACACGCCAACACATCTTCAAGGTTAGACGTGTACGAATATTAGAAAAGTTGGAAATAAACTTTTGATTGATCTGTTACGCTTAATATCGTGTCGCCGGGACATCGGCGGAGTCGCGTGCGTCCCCGTCGCCGTCTTCTCGTTTTTTTTTTAACTTTACCCATAAATCATGTTCACACATTCGAGTGAGGGAGAAAATAACTTGGGTCGATCGTTTCGGGAGGTCGGAACGCAATCGGCATTTGATAGACTGCAACGAGAAATCGGATAGCTTTGATAAGTCAAGCGCTTAATCAAATTACGTACGAGATTGATGTTTAATTGTAGGTCGAATGTGGGTCGTTTTGTCAGTCGTGAAATACATTGTACAATATATAAATGGTCAACATTCTTAGCTACTCACTTAATTCTTAGTGACTATCTGTGACCTTGCTCGTTCACGAATCACGCTATAGAAAGCAGAGTATTATATACACTTGACATTGACGAAATCTAAAAGGAAACGCCATAAACCTAAGAGATAGATAGATATATAAATGGTCACTTTGTAAAAAATATGTTATAGAATCCGAGATTTAGATAATGATCGAAACCAAGAAAGACTCAATCGTGTATAAGAACCTCATTTTTACGTATAGATATTTTATATACCTACATATTTTACGTATAGATTACTTTTAAATTTATTGTGTTTATATTTTGCTTTTAACACCGCCATATTATTTGAATAGCACGAGTTGGAGATAGCAAAAAACACTGATGAGAAATTAATGCGTTTTTCGCGATAGTTCCACTCCTAAAACTGACTAAATTCACGAGTATACCTATAGACGGATAGGCCCGCTCCTTCAAGAACTTGGAACATTATTGATCGTGTATGTATACAGTAATATGTTAGGATGCGAAAATCAATCGTGTCTTAAACAGAAATTGTATTGAAATTCAACTTTGTAAACAGTTTATTTTGCATGCCTACTTTAGATAATAATGTAATAACGAAATGCGCACTAATTCATTTTACGAAAATTTAACTAACATCTTAGTATTGGATGCAATGAACGCTTTTATTAGCTTCAGACGTATGTATGTTAGTATGTAACGGAATCTTTGAACATGATTTTGACCCCCTTCAAAACGTCAGATTAACTCGAAATTTGGTATACTTATTAAGGACCGATGACAATGGTGTGCATGGTATCAGTAGTTATAAATATTTTATGAACAGATATGAGTAGAAGGGTTATTTTGATAATATCCTGAAAAACA